GCATAAGGAACCGAAACACAGAGGAAAAGGCACAAAAACTGGAACTTAAGTCAAATCCACCAAGAAGAGGAATGAAGCAGGGCAGAACAGAAGGTTCCGTGTGAGAGAAGCAGAAAACCCAAAATAGGAAATGCAAGTCAAATGACAAAAGACAAAGGGAAATTAAGCATTTTTTACATAAGGAACCAGAGGAAGAAAAAGGAAAATATTGCCTTATTAGGTGTTGGAGGAGGTCGTACATACTCAAGGCCTGGTCAGCACAGATTCAGAGGAACAGGTGGACTGCCTGTATCCCAAGAGGACTTCCGGCCTGCCATCTGTTACTCCTGGAGAATTATCTCAAAAAGCCCCAGTTTCCTGAACTTTAAGTTGAAGGTAGTAATTGTTCCTTCCTACACGTTTATTCTAAAGTGCCAATCATACAATGTTTATAAAGCACTTAGAACAATGCCTGGCACATAAATGGAGGGTAAATAAAAACTGTTCTTAATAGCATTACAAACTTGTTAATCCAAATTTTTAGTTATTCCTTATGCTAGTATTTTTTATTTTTACTTTTTTTCTTTTTTTTTTGAGACAGGTCTCTCTCTGTTGCACAAGCTGAAGTGCTGTAGCATGATCACGGCTCACTGCAACCTCCAACTCCCAGGCTCAAGCGAGCTTCCTATCTCAGCCTTCTAGATAGGTGGGACTGCAAATGCATGCCACCACACTCTGCTAAGTTTTGTATTTTTTGTAGAGACAGGGTCTCAGCATGTTACTTACGCTGGTCTTGAATTCAGGAGCTCAAGCAGTCCTCCCGCCTCAGCCTCCCAAAGTACTAGGATTACAGATGTGAGTCACCAGACCCAACCTTCTTTATGCCATTATTTATTATAGACACAGTCTGGTAGAGATATAACCTTTAACTACACAGGTAACTGCCTTCCCAGTATATAGGGCCATTGTTTCTAATAATCTGTTTTAATTAACATGCTGATGATGGACCATTAGTGACAGATCTTACAACCTCAAATTCATAAACAGGGAACAGAGGTGGCTTAAGCAATTTCTCAATGAGATATTGCAAAGCAGTGTCTTAGCTGAATAGAAGACCTGCATCTCAGAGTCCTATACTGTGGCCAGGAAGTTCTGCTAAGACTAAAATAGCCACTTTGTTATTTTACATTCATATTTACCATCTGTATCATGTAAGCAGTGATCTAGACTGATTTAATTATAGAAAATCTGCATTTGCCCTATGGACGTAAATATTTTTTGAAAGGAATGTCTAAAGTGCCACTTATGTTTGCAAACTAAGGGCAGCAAAAGTTAAAGGAACAGAAGCCATTTTAAAATTGTTCATATTATCACAAAACAAATCACTCACAAGTTGATACACTTATTAGAAAAACTTGCTTCTATATTTATCATTACTGTATCTTTTATTTTACCTTATTTTCTGCCCCTCTGTAATACCAATATAAATGTTAGTGATATTAATACTAGTATCTGACTGGGCACAGTGGCTCACACCTGTAATCCCAGCACTTTGGGAGCCTGAGGTGGGCAGATCTCCTGAAGTCAGGAGTTCGAGACCAGCCTGGCCTACATGGCGAAACCCTGTCTGTACCAAAAATACAAAAATTAGCCAGGCGCGATGGTGCATGCCTGCAATCCCAGCTACTTGGGAGGCTGAGGCAGGAGAATCACTTAAACCTGGGAGGTGGAGGTTGCAGAGGGCAGAACTCGTACCACTGAACTCCAGCTGTGGCAACAGTGCAAGACTCCATCTCAAAAAATAAACAAATAAAAATAAACTACAATAAAAAATGAATAATAAATAATAGCCATTATTTATTCCTGCTTCCTTGGCATGCCCCTTCTCTCTTTTTCAGGTCTCCAGCTTTCAGTTGTAAGATACTACATAGAAAAAGGATGTAAACTGCTAAAGAAACTACAGAGTTAGCATTGACCCATCCCATATACTACAGTAGGGACCAGAAAAGCCAGAAAACTAGAGACTGAAACCATCTAGATTAGTTGTTTCCGGATTCAGCGTGCTGGGCTCAGTCACATTTCAAAAAATTGGGGGGGAATTGGCATTGAGATTATTAGAAAAGTTTTCTTGCATATTTTGCCCTTACTTTTGCCATGTAAGGATTTTAAACCAACAATTGCTACCATATATTGACAACATTCTTTATTAAAAGACAGAGTTTGTCAACTTTAAGAAAAACCTGGTAGGCAGGACAAAAATATCAGAATCGAGGCAGTTCACAAGAAGTAACCAGTGATCACTTTTTTTTTTTTTTTTTTTTTTTTTTTGAGACGGAGTTTCGCTCTTGTTACCCAGGCTGGAGAGCAATGGCACGATCTCGGCTCACCGCAACCTCCACCTCCTGGGTTCAGGCAATTCTCCTGCCTCAGCCTCCCGAGTAGCTGGGATTACAGGCACGCGCCACCATGGCCAGCTAATTTTTCATATTTTTAGTAGAGACGGGGTTTCACCATGTTGACCAGGATGGTCTCGATCTCTTGACCTTGTGATCCACCCGCCTCGGCCTCCCAAAGTGCTGGGATTACAGGCGTGAGCCACCGCGCCCGGCCCAGTGACTTTTAACCATCTCACATGTATGAGTGAGTGTTTGCTCAATTATTTATAAAAAATAGTCTCTTCTCATTTTGCTGGAGACCAGTGAAAATGGACGGGCCTAATTCTGTGGACTGCTGTTTGGGAGCTCTGCAAACCACTGATGAATCCATTTGGGGGTTAGATAAATGTGAAATCCAGAATCAAGCAGGTGACATTCATTGAGGGGTTACTCTAATTCCGGGCCCTCTGCCCAGTACTTTGCCGTCCTGAGGAGGGAAGAGGTCCCCGTCGTGTGTGAGTAGAGGAGCTTGCTCCTGCCTTTGTCTAAGTCTGATCACCACAACAACTGCCATAACCCAGAAAAGCTCACTGGTGAGTTGCTCTTTCCAAAAACACGATCCCTATGTAAAATTTTAAAACTCCAATGTAACAAAGCCACGAGCAGCCTTTGGGAGACTGCCACAGCAGAATCTAACCACACTAGGATTCGATGTTCTGCTTTCACAAAGAGACAGAAAGTTGCCAGGTTTTTGGGTACAAACCTCTGTGCCATGACAAAGCACCGCTTTGACCAGTGTGCTGGGCCTGATCTGAGACCACAACAACCAGCCAGTTAGGACAAACCAAAAATAGCCCCAACTTCTAAATCAAGACAGACGGAGAGTGACCACCCTGAGTCACCCAAGTTACACATTTTATTTTTGGATAGCTTTACTGGGCACCAAAAGTGTTTCATTTGCTGCGTCTCTCCAATAAAAGTACAAAGAAAGGAACTAAGTCTTGTGGTTCTGTTTGACTTACCATTAAGGTTACAACTCGTATAGATGACGTGATTCCTCGGCTTTGGAAAACCCACGCTAATTGTTTGGGGCGGGATGTCTCCCTAACAGATTAAACTGCTCAAAAGATCTTGGCTCACGATCTGTTGCATAAGCAATTTTGCCCCCAGGAATACATGCATGTTATCATTTCAAGATCTTTGCTGCCATTCAAAATGATAAAACATAAGTATATGAGAGGTGTAATAAAGAGCTTACTTGTCTTATTTAGACATTTTTCCTATTTAAGATATTCAGTGAATTTTATGTTAGAATTTGCATTGTAAATCTTCTAAATGGCTTTCATCTTATCAAATGCATTACTATCCTTAAAAATGATTTTCATGTGTACATGTAATCCAGATTCTTCACTGTCATCTGGTCCCCCTACCACTCCACCCTTATATTTCATTGTTCTCCTTCCAGTCACTGCTCCTCAACATTCTCTTTGTTCTTGCAAAGTGCCAAGCTCATTTTCACCTTAGTGTCTCTGCATTTGCTCTTTCCTCTGCCTGCAATGCCTCTGTCATCTTTGCATAGCTTGTTTCTTCTTGCCACTTAGGTCTCTGTTTAAATACTATTTCATGGAGAAGCCGTCTCTGACCGCTTTGGCTGAAATATCCCATTTCCATAAGTCACTCTCTAACATATCATTTTATTTTATTGTCTTTATAGCATTTATGAATAGCTTTTTTTTTTTTTTAAGATGGAGTTTTACTCTTGTTGCCCAGGCTGGAGTGCAATGCCATGATCTTGGCTCACTGCAACCTCTGCCTCCTGGGTTCAAGCAATTCTCCTGCCTCAGCCTCCCAAGTAACTGGGATTACAGGCACCCACTACCACACCCGAATAATTTTTGTGTTTTTAGTAGAGACACGGTTTCACCATGTTGGCTAGGCTGGTCTCAAACGCCTGACCTCAGGTGATCCACCCACCTGGGCCTCCCAAAGTGCTGAGATTACAGGTGTGAACCACTGTGCCTGGCCATGAGTATCTTTTTAAAAAAAATCTTGTTCACTTATTTGTTAACTTGTTATTTGTTTGCTCTCTTTAGACAGAAAGCTTAACAAGAATAGGGACTTTGTCTTGTTTATTCATGCTGGACTAGTGTTTGGCACATAGCAGTACTTAATAAATATTTGTCAAATGAATGAATAGATGATGAATGAAAGAATAGACAAATTCATGAGCGTTTTCATATTTGTCACCTTTATCCCAGAGATTTCATGCCAAATGTCACAAAGGCTAATGTAGGTTCAACAGTTCTCTTGGTAATCTTATCAGTAAACATAGGCCAAATGAGTCATGATTTAAGTTATCTGGCTTGGCACTAAATTGCCAGATCTCCACTTCACTTAAGTTACGTAGCTCAGTTTGACAGAGCAATCTAATAAGTGTGCAAATAAGGTTTTAATACAAAAATGAAAGATTAGATGTGATTTTGTGATTTAGAATAGACAAATCCTTTTCAAAAGTATTTATTTCAAACCAATAGCTAATATGATAATTGCTAGCAGGAAAATTAAAAAAAAAAAAAACACTAAGGCAGAAGGCCCATTCTTCCCATTTTTAAAATACTGATTTGAAAGTTCTAACCAATACACTAAGATAAGAAGAAGAGGCGGGTAAACAGACATGGCCGGCGAGGGAGACCAGCAGGACGCTGCGCACAACATGGGCAACCACCTGCCGCTCCTGCCTGCAGAGAGTGAGGAAGAAGATGAAATGGAAGTTGAAGACCAGGATAGTAAAGAAGCCAAAAAACCAAACATTATAAATTTTGACACCAGCCTGCCAACATCACATACATACCTAGGCGCTGATATGGAAGAATTTCATGGCAGGACTTTGCACGATGATGACAGCTGTCAGGTGATTCCAGTTCTGCCACAGGTGATGATGATTCTGATTCCTGGACAGACATTACCTCTTCAACTTTTTCACCCTCAAGAAGTCAGTATGGTGCGGAATTTAATTCAGAAAGATAGAACCTTTGCTGTTCTTGCATACAGCAATATACAAGAAAGGGAAGCACAGTTTGGAACAACAGCAGAGATATATGCCTATCGAGAAGAACAGGATTTTGGAATTGAGATAGTGAAAGTGAAAGCAATTGGAAGACAAAGGTTCAAAGTCCTTGAGCTAAGAACACAGTCAGATGGAATCCAGCAAGCTAAAGTGCAAATTCTTCCCGAATGTGTGTTGCCTTCAACCATGTCTGCAGTTCAGTTAGAATCCCTCAATAAATGCCAGATATTTCCTTCAAAACCTGTCTCATGGGAAGACCAGTGTTCATATAAATGGTGGCAGAAATACCAGAAGAGAAAGTTTCATTGTGCAAATCTAACTTCATGGCCTCGCTGGCTGTATTCCTTATATGATGCTGAAACCTTAATGGACAGAATCAAGAAACAGCTACGTGAATGGGATGAAAATCTAAAAGATGATTCTCTTCCTTCAAATCCAATAGATTTTTCTTACAGAGTAGCTGCTTGTCTTCCTATTGATGATGTATTGAGAATTCAGCTCCTTAAAATTGGCAGTGGTATCCAGCGACTTCGCTGTGAATTAGACATTATGAATAAATGCACCTCCCTTTGCTGTAAACAATGTCAAGAAACAGAAATAACAACGAAAAATGAAATATTCAGTTTATCCTTATGTGGGCCGATGGCAGCCTATGTGAATCCTCATGGATATGTGCATGAGACACTTACTGTGTATAAGGCTTGCAACTTGAATCTGATAGGCCGGCCTTCTACGGAACACAGCTGGTTTCCTGGGTATGCCTGGACTGTTGCCCAGTGTAAGATCTGTGCAAGCCATATTGGATGGAAGTTTACAGCCACCAAAAAAGACATGTCACCTCAAAAATTTTGGGGCTTAACGCGATCTGCTCTGTTGCCTACAATCCCAGACACGGAAGATGAAATAAGTCCAGACAAAGTAATACTTTGCTTGTAAACAGATGTGCTAGAGATAAATTTATCTAACAAATTTGTTATTCTAAAATCAGATCTGCTTTGGAAATTATTGCCTCTGATACATACTTAAGTAAACACAACATTACTTGGAAAAAAAAAAGAAGAAGAAGAAAGACAGGATATAACTATTTTAAAGTAGAGACAAAATTCTCTTTATAGACAATGATAATCTATCAGGAAAACTTAAGATAACTTTTTTAGTGGACTAAGGATGGAATTAAACAAGGTACAGTTATAAAATAAACAGATAAAAAGTGATAGCTTGTAGAGCAGCAATAGTTGCTTAGGAAACACAAAGGCCAAAATATAACTAAAGAATTACCGGGAGGCCAGGCACAGTGGCTCGTGCATGTAATCCCAACACTTTGGGAGGCCAAAGTGTTGGGATTAACTTTGAGCAGATCACTTGAGGTCAGGAGTTCAAGACCAGTCTGGTCAACATGGTGAAACCCCATCTCTACTAAAAATACAAAAATTAGCCAGGCATGGTGGTGTGTAGCGGTAATCTCAGATTCTTAGGAGGCTGAGGCAGGAGAATCTCCTGAACCCAGAAGGCAGAGGTTGCAGTGAGCCAAGATTGCACCACTGCACTCCAGCCTGGACAAGAGAGCAAGACTACGTCTCAGAAAAAGAAAGAAAGAAAACAAAAGAAATTTATTAATGTTTCTATACCAACTATAGGTTTTTCTTTTCCTAAGATCCAAACATGGCATTAATTTTAAACTGAGGAATATAGCTATGAATTTTAATTTAATATTTATTTTCCTATGAAAAAGCCAATCTTATCACTTGTTCATTCAGCTAATATTTATTCTCCTCCTCTATTTATAGTTCTGTACCAAGAACTACAGAGAAAACAAAGAGAAAAGAAAAAAACATTGTCTCTGCTTCTAAAGATTTTACAATCCAGGCTGGGTATGGTGGCTCACGCCTGAAAATCCCAACACTTGGGAGGCCGAGGCAGGCTGATCACTTGAGCTCACGAGTTCGAGACCAGCTTGGGCAACATGGCGAAACCCTGTCACTACTAAAAATTAAAAAATTAGCCAGGCCTGTTGCCGGGAACCTGTGATCCCAGCTACTCGAGAGGCTGAGGCAGGAGAATTGTGTGAGCCCAGGAGGTGGAGGTTGCAGTGAGCTAAGGTCATGCCACTGCACTCCAGCCTGGTCAATAGAGCGAGACTCAATCAAAAAAAAAAAAAAAATTACAATCCTGTTGGAAAGAGAAATTGTAACATATGCATGAGAAATGACTAGGAAAACATTTCTGACAACAATATGCATTACTTATTACTGACAAAAATAAGAAAATACTTATTAAGCATCTGTAATGACAAGGTTCCTTTGCAAGTTGTATGTGGAGTGGTGAGTGGACTTACCATAAATATAATTAGAACCCAGTCCTTGCCATTAGAGCAAGATATTAGGGAGAATCACATATTTGAATTATTAAGGCATTAAGCTGAACTGTGAAAGAAGAAAGAAGGCTGTCAATGCACAGATCACATGGGATTCCAAGTGACTTTGGGTAAGAAAGCATGGGACATGTTTGTGAACACAGAGGAATCCTGTTTGGCTGGAAGACAGGTAAAGATGAAAGGGGACTAGGAGGTTAAGACCAGAAGCAAAGATGGGAGGTCAGGCCTCAGACGTGGTCTTGAATTCTTTACTGCAACTAATATAATCCTATATTAGTTGTTGTCAGAGAGCTTTCAAACGTTTCCAAACAAGAAAGCATTACAGGAATATTTGTCTGATAGCAGTATTTGGGCTGAGTTGAAATGTGGAGAGACTGTTAGGAGGGTCTGTTAGGAAGCTTGAAAGACAGGGAATAGGGACCGGCACTATGCTGGAGAAGCCTTGAGAAGCACTGAGGGGCGCTTGACACTTTGGCACCCAGTGTGCTTGGCTGGTAGGTAGTCAGAAAACACTGGTAGGTAGTCAATAAATATTTATCAAGTGAATGAATAATTTTTCTGTCCTCCCTGTAAAGTAAGTTCTCAGAGCAGCATCTAGCTGTCTTTCAAGCACTATTTACATTTGTGATCATAAACTTAGTTGTGAGATTGTTTGCTGAATGCCTTTTTCTCCCGTTAGACCATAAGCTCACCCGGGGAAAGACCTTGTCTGTTTCTTCTCTCTTTCTCTCACTCTCACTCTTGTTCTTTTTCTCTCTTCGCTTTATTTTTTCCACACTGTATCCCCTGAATCAGGCATTCAGTGAATGCATGTTGAATCTATAATTAGTCAACTCATTAAATATGGGCTTGAGAGAGATGGAAGAGTGAAAGATGATTCTGTTTTAAACCTTATTTCAATGTTAGTGGCTTGTGTTCTTTTACAAATATTAATAGGGAAGTTAGGAGGAGGAGCTGGACAAAATTATTTGTTCTCATTTTAAGTGCTGCATTTGAAAGTCTAGGAGAATTATCTAGATGAAGCCAGCCAGGAGACAATTGAAAATATGAGCCTAAGCAATATGGCAGGCCCCAGCTCTACAAAAAAGAAAAACACAAAATAACTGGGCATGGTGGTATATACCTATAGTCCCAGCTACTTGGGAGGCAAGGTTGAAGGATCACTGGAGCTTGGAACGTTGAGGCTGCAAGAAGCCATATTGTGCCACTGCACTCCAGCCTGGGCAACAGAGTAAGACCCTGACTCTAAAAGAAAAGAAAATATGGGCTTGATGAGGTGGCTTACGCCTGTAATCCCTGCCCAGAGGTGGGCAGATCACCTGAGATCAGGAGCTCGAGACCAGCCTGGCCAATATGGTAAAATCTCATCTCTATTAAAAATAGAAAAATTGGCCAGGAGTGGTGGCTTACGCCAGTAATCCAAGCACTTTGGAGGCCAAGGCAGGTGGATCACCTGAGGTCGGGAGTTCAAGACCAGCCTGATCAACATGGTGAAACCCCGTCTTTGAAAAGAAAAAAAAAATACAAAACTTAGCCAGGTGTGGTGGTGTGTGCCTGTAATCCCAGCTACTCAGGAAGCTGAGGCAGGAGAATGGCTTGAACCCAGGAGGCGGAGGTTTTAGTGAGCCAAGGTCACACCATTGCACTCCAGCCTGGGTGACAGGGTGAGATCCTTTCTGGAAAAAAAGAAAGAAAAGAAAAGACAATATGAAACTCTAGAACTCTGTAGAAGATTTGGTCAGGGGTAAAGATCTGGACTAGGATAACATCTGCATGGAGGTGTTAATTGAAACAGTAGAGGTACTTGAGATCATCAGAAAGGAAATACAGAAAATGAAGAAAAACCGGGTTGAGGACAAATCTTGGGACACACCTGTTTTCAGTAAGGCACAGATGAGCCAACAAGGAGAGAGAAGTAAGTTAGTGAGGGGGAGAGGCAAACTGTATTCCAGTTGCTCCAAAGATAAGGGAAGAAAATTTTCAAGGAAGTAGTGAACAGCTGCATCAAACTCATTAGAAAGATTAGCAAGGATAAAATTCAGGAAACGCTATTACACGGGGTGAGCAATTTCAGAGTTTGCATAAGTGTGGAGGGAGCATGTGAAGTGAAATCAGATTTAAATGGACAAGGTATGAGATAAAGGCAGTAGATACAGATGACTCTCAAGAAATTCAGTGGGAAGGGATGGGAGGAGAAAAAAACGATAGCGTTGTCTGACTTGTTGTTTTTGTAAACACCCATTATTAAGTAAATAATTTGCCCAAAGTATTGAAACTACACACCAGTCCAAATTAGGATCTATGTGTCACGTAACTTCTCATGATATGTGTATGTTCCGTTCTCCACGGCCAGTCAGCAACACTTGCTAATGACCTCCTAAAGCAGCAGTGGAGCCTGGGAGCTATGGAAGCGGTCGCAGAAGGGTAGACATAAGGGGTAAGAAAACACTACTTGCCTAACATCCACCTTTTTGGAACAGGAGGAAGGAAAAGAACTGCTCCAAGTAAGGGCAGAGCCAGAAGTAATCAACTGGGTTCACTAACATCATCGACCGTTGTTCTGTGCCAGGTTTGGGATCTGGGTAAAGGAAGAGTTGCTGGGAGGGATGAATCAGGTTTCTGCCTAACGGTGGGATCAGTCTACTTGTTACCAGTGGAGGGTGTCCAGGTTCTTGGCGTTTTGAACAAAGAATTGGGCAAAACCTACAAACAAAGCAAGAAAAGAATGAAGCAACAAAAGCAGAGATTTATTGAAAATGAAAGTACACACTAAAGGGTGGGAATGAACCCAGGCTTAGGGGCTCAAGAGCCCTGTTATGGAATTTTGGGGGGTTTAAATACCCTCTAGAAGTTTCCATTGGTTACTTGGTGTACACCCTATGTAAATGAAGAGGATGAAGTTATAAAATGGAGAGGATATTTCCTGTCAGAGCTGAAATGTTTCCATTTGAGTTAGTTCTAGGAATTCCTCATGTACCCTGTCTCCAAATGCTGCTCTCCTGCCTCCGACTGACAGGTTCTAAACTGGAATAACGAGGGGCTGGAAAAAAAAAAAGGGAGGTATCCATTGCTAAGCTGAATTTGAAGGTTGGCTTGAAAGAGTCAGAGTGAGGAAGAGAAGGCAACCTTCAGCCTGGGGACAGACTTGAAGACAGCAGCAGCATGAGGACTGCCTTCTGTGGGCAGTGAAATTACGTGACTGCAGAGCCCTAAGGGCAGAGGAGGTTACGAAAGTGAGCCTGAAAGCCATTCGCTGACCTGCGGAGGGAGCTACCCCTCCTTAAAGCCTGAAGAAAAAGTTTATTTCCTGCTCCTCTGTTGCTCCCACATTATTTCTCTGAGCTGGAGGTGGAAATAGACTTCTGTGTCATGATCACACTACTAGTTAGGAAAACATTTTCCACCAAAATAAAAAAAAAATGAATACAATCTTCATAAGATCCAATCTTCATAGATCTTCACAATGTATGATATTCATGTGAAGGGCACTTTCTAGACCAGGCGATATGCAGCCACTCACCTTTTTAGAACAGGAGGAAGGAAAAGCTCACCACAGTCATCAGAATCAACCCACTCTCTCACCCACTGACTGCAAAGCGGATGCAAACAGCCT